TTCTCTTTTTTGATAAATTGATCGGTGCAGCCGTGCATGCAGTTTAACAGAGCACACTTTAATTGAGAGGTACATTCAGTTTAGAAAAAAGCGAATTGGGATTGCACAATCCAATTCTTTGGTGAAGTGAAAACAATGCTACAAACCAGAAAATTTCTAGGCCATGGCCAACCCACTCTTTCATGCATACATTTCAACATATACGGGGTATAAAACAAACGAAAAACCTACCGACCCGTGAAAATAATATCCTGGCATTGCGTTGCGTTGTGCGTGCAACTGCGCACGAGCCAGGTCGTCGTGCCCGTGCCCGTCCTCCCGTGGCCAGCTTTGCACGCAGAACAACTCCAACCGCCAATAATGCGGTAGCTCGGTGGGTTGTACATGTACATCGACCATCATATGCACGGTCCACTGACTCCCGTATGATTGGGAGCTAGACGATGCATATCATCATGCATGTATACTACTACAACACAACACAACACTTGCAATATATATCATATATGCATGTACGGATTCATGATATGGGCTGTATGATTAGCAGTGAACAGTCTTGGCTTATACATATATTTTTTTTAAAAAAATCCGAGGAGGAGCGAGGCCCTTATGCATCGCGTAAATGATGTGTGTCCGGTACTCCGGTCTCCCAAAGGCCAAAGCCGGCATCAAGGAAGGAAGGCAGCGCGAAGGGTGATGGGCTCCCGCACCTAAAGACCGACCACCCAAAAGGCGCGTGTCGATCGAGTCCATCATGGACGGACGGACGGACGGGAATCCAAGCCAATCACGACGTCCTCTCCTGTAGCGTACTCCTAAAATAGATCACTCATTCATTGACGGAGCTGGAGCGCTGGAGTATTTTGTGTTCTTGTCTAGGAATGTGTTTTTTTTAGCCCCCGAGTTCTTGAGAACGTGGAACGTGTTTTCAATTAGGATTGTTGAGGGGTCCTGCGTTGCTTTCATCCACTGGCGGCGGTGGCACCAGATATGGGTAGAGCGTTTCGAGGGCTGTCCAGAGTGCACTTTGATGCATTATGTCGAAAACTACTAGTCAGGCAATGAGCCTGTCCGTGCAAGATGGCCAGCCAAGCATTGAATTGAATCTATGGATACCAAATGAGGAAATGGCGTTGAGGATCTCTCCTAATAATAAGTGACGAGCAGAAGGCCGCAATTGTTTTTTTTTCTTTTCTGCTATCTGAATGAATATATATAATAATAACAACATAAGAGCACTGATACTACTCCGTGAATCATCATACGGTGAAAGTGAAACTATAGCTCTTGTCCGTGAATCGTACGATGCACCGCGGCGACATGCATGGAACGGCATGGACCAGCATAGCCTCGTCACCTCGTGTAAAACGACAGGATTTGCTATGAGAAATTCGGAGGAATCACCTGCGTATATCAGACGTCAATGTCAGAGCCATACCGTCCGATCTTGTTGATCACATGTTCCTTGATCGTTTATGAGAAAATAAGTCGGCCGATACCGCTTTTTGTTTGAGAAGAAAAAATACATCAGATCATAAATTGTAAGATCGCTGATACGATCAATCAATCATGTGGATACCCAAAGGCCAAAGTAGACGCAGGGCAGGGTAGGGCAGCGGCGTTGATGTTATCCATCCGACGTCTGCCACGATATTTTGTAGCAACAGTGGCAACCTGGACCCTCCTAATTCAACGTGTTCTGGTCGATCTACCAAAGGAGCGAGATCCTACCGTACCAAGCTGGCGCTGGGTCGCTGGGAGGACCAAATGCAAGCAAGTTTTCGAGAAAATTCGCGGGTCCGGAGGGCGAGGGATGCCTAGAACGTACGTCTGGTAGGTCGGCCACTGAAAGGCACGGGCAGATGGTGTGGAAAATCTCCGGCTCGGCCCTCCTGTTCAGTAATCAGTCCTCTCTGGCTGGCTCGCGACTGCCTTCGTCTCCGTCCGCTTGGATTATGGCGCGAGGGCACAACAGAGGAGGAGAAGAGGACGAGGGGTGGTTGAGCCGACTGAGCGAGTGGTGGCGCTGGCGCCCGTGCCATCCATCGGCAACGTAGCGTGGATTATGGCGCGAGAGGGCCCCAGATTGTACTGGACCGAGCCCTGCCGCCACATGACGCGACTCGGCGACGGATAGATGGATAGCGCTGCCTGCCTGCCTTCTGCCCAACGCCTGTGGCACGTAGGAGTAGATGCCAAGAGAAGGGAGCGAAGGGGCCCGTGCTGCCCGAGACACGCCATGTGAGCAGACGTGCGCTCCCCTGCCTCCGCTCTGCTCCGCCCCGTACCCGCCGGAACCCGGAGGGAGGAGACAATTATTAGCCACGGCGGGAGACCGCGGACACGGTGTAGCTAGCCGGTCATCACACTGCATTTACACCCTACAGGGCTCAAGATTGCAAGCAAGATGGAAATAAACGAACGAATGAAATGAACCCCCAAGGCAACAAAAGAAACGGGCCAGACAGTTTGTTGTGCAATGCCGCTAGCTGGGGGCGGAAGAATGGACGCCATGCTACAACCGTAGACGCATCATGTGTGCAAAAGTGAGGGAACCTGGTAAAAGAATGGACGCCATGCTGATGCGGTTTTCCGACAACGCTAAAAAAAAGTAATCAGGCTATGCATAGGCGACAAATTATGGTGCTTTAGCTGACAGCAGGATTGTTGTTGTATATATGAACAACAAACAACTTGTTCGGTTGGCTGGTTCGTATTATTACTGGTTCGTTTATGTAAAAAAGAAGTACTGTTGGTTATATAAATAGTGTGCATGTGAGGGGGCTGGTCAGCCAGCCCCAGCCGAACACGGCGAAAGCCACGAATCATGACACAAATCACGCATATACAACCAAGCGCTGAACATGGGCTGTTGCCTCAAGTCTCCAGTTTTTTTGACACTCAAAATTTCCTTAGCCGCTACAGAACAGACCCAAAAGAAATGGGATAGAATTGGCTGAAAAATATTGTTCTGGCTAAATTATCGTAAAAAAAAATACTGTTTTGATTTGAAAAAACAAACTGAATAGTGTAGATTATAGGGTAAGCCGAACAAGACCTACACTAGTCAGTAGCCACACATACATATACAGTAAACGATGACGACAGCAGCGTCAACCACAAGTGAGCGCATCAGATCTACAGGGTGGTATCCAGCAGCAAGTAAAAACAGAGGATGAGACAAAACAGCGGTTTGTTCGGTTAGCTGGTTCGTATTGTTGTTGGTTCGTAAAAAATATTACTGATTGATTTATATGAGAAAAAAATACTATTTTAACTAAAAATTTACCATCGTATACAACAAGCACAAACCAAACGAACAGCGTCCCCTTCCTCGTGATGAAGCCCAGCAGTGTTCTGACCGCTGCCTGCTGCGTCTTGACAGGCAAGGTGACCCACCCTCGGATACCCCTCCTTGAATTTTTTTTCCTCCCAATCTTGCAACACCTCCAGCTCATCGGGGCTTAGGCCGTCCAAATCCCCGGTGAGGTCATTTGGGTCAAATGACATCAATGCCAGGGCCCGGGTTGCATCCCTCCCAGCAAACAAGGAATATGGTCCCTGAGGGCCATAAAAGAGCCTGAGGGAAAAATATCAGGGAACACAATCATGACTCTCTGAACAAGGGGGAAAACCACGTTTTATATATATCCGGTAATGACGAATGATCTTATTGCAACAGACCCTAGCCCAAGGGACTATGTATGACAATTATCAGAGAAAATTGCAAAATCTGGTAAGATTCATACATTCTGCTTGTGCATAAAGTGATAAACAAATCTTAGTTCAAATGTCATCTGCCAGTAGGAAGCATGTTCAGAACACATTGCACAAGTGTCAAGCTCAAACCTGAGAATTGGAATCCAAACAGAAGCATTTTGTGGAAAATTATTTGAAGGACATAGTCCTATATACCTAATTCCTTGGCAGTATATGGGCCAAAAGAACAGCCCACTAGAAAACCACAGTATCAGTTCTAGAATCTAGACAGTCTCAACAAATACAAATATGCTTGTTGCCTGTTGAAACAGCAGCCTAGTTAAACAAAGCAAGGAATCAAGGGTACCCGACAGTAGCTATATACACTACTGATTGCAGGCTACAGGATAAACAATAGTGACCAATCACCAAACTACAGTAGTATATGATTCCACACACTAATACAGTACTACACTCTAGAAAAATGTGGGGCTGAAAGGGGTGAGATGGCACATGATAAACTATATCACCCAGACAGCAACGAGCAAACAAATGGAACTGAAGAAACAAGATGCATAAAGCGGTCAGATATGTAAATATCGGTATTGCAGAAGATAAGGGGAAAACCAGTGAAGGTAGTTTGGTACACCAGGATACCATAGCAACGGACACAAAACTAAAATGCAGTGTAAACTAAATATGATGGTGTTTGGACCCAGTAATTTCAGAAGAAAGCATCAATTGGAGTCCAAATGAAAACTTCATCAAAATATTATAAGGTACAGAAACCATATAGCCCTTAAGTAAACAAGGGAGTTTAGCTTCAGAGCTGCCAGAAGTAGTTCAGCCAGACAAGGTAAGCATAAAACTTGTTTTTGTTTTACAATTCCGATTTCTCTATAATGAAACTAAACAAGGTGTTGTCCTCCCTAACATTGCATTATAGGATTGAGAAATTTTGATCTGAAATGGATGTATGATCGACCGACGAGCGATGTCCGCTCCCTCTCTCCCCCTCCCTCCCGCCTCCACCGCCGGCTCCGGCGCCCCGCCGCCAGCCACCTCGGCTCCGGCACTCCAGCCCGCCCCCCCCCCCCCCCCCACCCCCCTCCCACTTCTCTGCTTCGGCTCCCTGTCTCCCCTTCTCCTGCAACCACACAGCCACCTCCCCCTTGCCATCTGCCCCGAGCAACGACTCGAAGGCGCCTGGTGCGGCGACTGCGACGGTGGTCGTCACGGGTCATCCGGGAAGTGCGCCCCGCAGCTGTTCGGCGGAATGCCCACGAAGACACCTAACATCGATGGCCGCGGGCCGCGCCTCTTCCAACCCTGGCGAGTCCTCTAATGCGCCGGCTGTTGAGGACACCGCGGAGCTGGAACGCGCAACGGCAACGACGAGGCAGGCTCGCAGCGACGACTTTGACAGTCCGGGTACGCGCTTTCAAACCTTTGTTCTGTTAAACTATCGCTGCCCGGTTGTTAGGCCTCTTTGCTTCCTCCTTGTTCCTCCTGTCGATCTGTGGATTTCTCAATCCAATGGGGGTTCTTCGGCTCCCCCTGCCTTGGTTAGCAACGCCCTGAGCTACCACTTCTGTGGTCCTCTGGAAGCTTTTCGGGTCACGCCCTGCTCTGCTTTCCTCTTCTCCATTAGTGTCGCTACGGAATCTGTCAAAAATCACCTCTGTAGAATTGGTGTAATTGCCATTCAGGGCATCATCTTCCACCTCCATCCGGACGCCGCCGCCGCTCGCTCGTTTCTTGACTTTCTTCGGCGGCCCGGCAACGGTGTGCCCATTTCAAAATTTGAAAGTAGCACTGTTGCCTTTTCTGACAACGGACAGTCGCCAAGGCCCATTCCGGCACCTCAGCCCAGTCTAGGCAACGGTGCTTTGGGGGCCGAACAGCCCAACGTTACTTTAAAGCCCGGTCAAGAAGTCGGCAACTTGGGTGCCTTCGCCCAGTCTATCTTCTCTGCCCCTGTCAGCGGCAGGTTTGACTCGTGTCACCAGCCTGACGGGCCCTCCCCCATGCATTCTCTGATCGAGGATATCCCAATTCCTCATTTTCCTCGTATTAACGCTGAGACGTCCCATCGCCCGCTTCCTCCGCTCTCTACTACTACGGTCGGTGCTGCTACTGCTGTAAAAATCCTGACGACGGATGGTGAGCAGGGTGCGGACTCACCACCCGCTCATGACTGGAATCGCCCCCCTGCCCTCCACCTCACCTCCCCGGTTCAGTTTGAAGCTCCACGTTACCATGCCTATAGGGGCTATGAGATGGCAGGGGCGCAGCTGAACGGCATGATCAAACACTGAGAAGAAGCGTGCTGTGCATCCCACCGTCCCTATAAATAACCACCACAAGGGTAAACAAGCTTGCTATCGGTGCCTAGCTACTGACCACAAAGTCGCAGCTTGCCGTGATCCCATAGTTTGCAAACGGTGTCACCGTTCCGGCCACAAAGGTTTCGAGTGCAAGGACTCTCGCCAACTGTGGATACGACGTCGGATATCCACGGCACACTATACGGGCTGCGCCGTCAAAAGTGATTCAGCCCACAAAGCGAAGACTTACGGGGCACGATACTGCTCGGCGTGTACCGTAAGACATTAAGGACGATATCCTGAAGATGCTACGATATATGTTAGGATATGCTCGATCCTGTGATTCCTGTAATCCGTTATTACTTACCGGTTATTTTCTAAATCTAACCGACTTGTAACTCTATACCTGGCTATATAAGGCGGGTAGGGGACCCCCCTCAAAACACACGTAATATCATACGATAATCAATACAAACCAACAGACCACAGGAGTAGGGTATTACGTCGTGCAGACAGCATGAACATGTCTAACTCTTGTGTCTCTGTTGTCTTCTTGTTTTTGATTGCACGTACCTCTGCCGATCAATCTACCTTCGTGGGATACTCCTCGGAGAACTACCGACGATATTCTGTTGACAATTGGCGCGCCAGGTAGGGGTGTGCGTGCTGTTTCCATGACGAACAAAATGGTACACTTTTCAGGCTCTTCGTCCTCTCCAGAGCCCGGCCAGATCTTCACGGTCGGATCGATCTCCTAGGTCATCAATGCTGACGGAGAAGGAGAGATCATCAGGCCGGTGCAGATCGATTCTGCGCCAACCACACCAACACCTGCAACGGCAGATCCGATCTCGGAACCGCTTTTGAGGTCGTCTTCACCAACAACTCGCCGCCTGCTGCCCCGCTACTCGAGTAAGTAGGTCGGCAACGACGATCTGATCGCATCCATCGATCAAGTCGGCCAGAAGCTCGCCGACTGTCTCTCCCTCAGAATCGGTTCTGACCACTCTAGTTCGACGCCAACCACCTTCAGGTTCCGATCTATCGGAAGCCGATCGGGAAACTCCGGGGGATACGACCACCATCCATCAGGATGCCCTAAGGGACAATTTCACTAACCAGATTGGAGACATCTATCCTCTCGCCGACTGCTCCGCTCGACCGTCTATCAAAGTGCCATGCAGTATCGCTTCTCCGACCAGATCGAATGCGGTTACATCAACAATCTCCCTGAAACGGATCTGCCTAAGGCTGACCAGCACCATAAGGACGACGTCGCCTGGACTACTCGTTCCGACGCCAGCTGCATCGCAACGATGATCGCCGCGTAGAATTATGCTATGACGACCACGACTGCCGCCATGACGACAGGCCGAAGAGCTCCAAACCCGACCATATAACGTCATACGTCGCCGATCAGACGTTCTCACTAAAGATAAGTACCCTTCCTATATTTAAATTTAATACAATTTTCTCCAAGTTTCGCCATGTTTTCTCCTATTGTTATTTCTTCAATATGTCTCCATGATTAATGTCTCCAATAATCTCCATTTGTTCTCCATGCGAATTATCTTTAAGATATTCTCCACTCGACTCATCGACCAGCCACGTTCTCACTTGCGTTACCAGAAACAGCCCTATTCTCGATCTCACTCCTACACGTGCATGAGCGCCAGCCCTCTGCGTTGTGAGTGGTCGGCAGTGGCACCTTGGCGATGCTCTCTCTCTTACATGTACACGGGTGCCAGCCACTCCGCGCTATAGAGCTTGGGTTAGTCAGGGCTGGTGACGCGATATAGAACCAACTGGAAGGAAGTTACTTATATTTAAAATATGATCACTTCAAACAAACATAATGTTTATCTACTCCGCTCTGTTTTCTTCATCGTCGAGCTCATATATTTTATTTTTACATCATGTACTACCCGTTCTACATATTTGTATTGCAGGATCATCGTCCAGGTGGTCGGACCACCTGATACTCGTACTTCTCCACCGATCAACTGGTCGGCCCGCTAGGTTTATGGACTTCGTCGCCGACCAATTGATCGGACTGTTCGCCGGTCACTTCTACTCAATGCTCACTTCGCCGTCGACCAGTTGGCCGGATTGTTCGTCAGCTACGCTGGAGGCTTACCAGCTAAGCTGGGGACTCCTCGGCGTTCAGATTCTTCATGCAAGAGTTGCCAGCTAAGGCTGGGGACTCTCTTGGCGGTCGGGTCTTGCTACGTCTCATCGGTGTGCAATCAAGCTACTCCATGCTGTTCGGATCAGGGTGCTGATCTTAGGCAACATGTCTGGGGTCTTGATACGCGCATGTCAGATGATGTCGGCAAGCTTTCAGACTTTTTTTCTTTGACCCTGCTACAAGATTCATTCTTTATCTTCCAGCAGGTTCAGGGACTAAGTGGCTACACTTCATCTAGCGATGAATGTAGTGCTCTTTTCTTGATTTATCCTCTTTATTCACGGAGTCTAAGTGGCTACACTTCTCCTCAGGGGAAGAATTTTCAAATTTTATCTTGAGCCCCTTACATCCTTCTGGTAAGTCTTACTTGGCTAAGTTCGAGATCGATTAACTTGTTAAACTGGTCGATTCCTACTTTCACCGTTCAAGTCACCGGTTACACTGGTCGGCTATGACTTTCACCGCTCAGGTCATCGGTTTAACTGGTTTGCTTCGACTTTCACCGCCCAGGTCACTAGTTTAACTGGTCGGCTTCAACTTTCATCGCCTAGGTCACCAGTTTAACAGGTTGACTTCAATTTTCACCGTCCAGGTCGTTAGGAAAACTGATCGACTTCATGTTAAACTGCTCGGACTTGAATAAGACGGTGTGGCCAAGCGGATGGAAGCACTACGGGAGCTCCGGCCACCTTGGAGCCAACTCCTCGCTCGTCCAGCTCCAGATGACTCTGCGTACTAGGACATAGCTCGAGGTGGGGGCGGGTGGCGGTGACGGGCGGGCGTCACACGGAGTAGAGAAAGACGGGGGAGGGAGGGAGAGTGGAGTGGGCCAGGCCGCGCGGGGGAGGATAAAGACACCAGGGAAAGGGGAGGTCTTTTTACCTGAGCCTGCTGACTCGGATCCGAGCTGAACAGCGGAGCTGACGTGCCCCGCGAGCAAAAGTGGTAAATGTGTATCGTTTTTCTCTCTTTGCTGCTAAAAGCGTAGCACCAAACCTGAAGCTGCTATTTGAGGAGGGGCTATCCGTTATGTTGGTAAAAAGTTAAATATCCCGAGCCAGGTAGCCGGCGGTGGAAGTGGAAGGGAAAAGGGGCTGCGTTTTGGACCAGGGTCGGCAGCCGGACGCGGCGGCCAAGTCGGGCGACAACGAGTGGCAGCGCAAAAGTGACAGACGTCAAAAAAAGTGGCACGTTGTGCCTTCGCATAACGTAAACCAGCCGCAACTGGCACCGGGCCCGGCAGCGTTGTTGGGTTGGGTCAGATTGGGCCCGTTCCGTGTTGTCATTCCCTTCCTTTGTCACGTGAGCGGTGTGTAGTGTAGGTGAAAGGTCCTAATGGTTAGAGGGGGATGAATAGCCTATTAAAAATTTTTACAACAACACTTAGCAAACCGGTTAGACAATTATGAGGCGAAGCAAGTGTTGCGCTAGCCTAGTAAATTGAAAGTCACCTACCATAATTCTAGTTTATATAGTTTCTATCCACACAATAACTATGTCACTACACTAAGTTAGTGTGCTCTCAAAGGCTAACTAAAGAGCCACACTAACCAAATTAACAAGCTCTCACAGCTAGCTACACTAAAGAGTTTAACAACTAGTTTGCGGTAATGTAGAGTGAGTGAGCAAGATGGTTATACCGCCGAGTTGAGGAGTGAGCCAATCAATCACACGAATGAATACCAATCACCTCGGAATCAAATGATGAACACAATGATTTTTACCGAGGTTCACTTGCTTGCCTGCAAGCTAGTCTTCGTTGTGGCGATTCACTCACTTGGAGGTTCACGCGCTAATTGACATCACACGTCAAACCCTTAATAGGGTGCCGCACAATCAACATAAGATGAGGATCACAAGCCATGAGCAATTTACTAGAGTACCTTTTGACTCTCCACTGGAGAAAGGTCAAGAACCCCTCACAATCACCCAATCGGAGCCGGAGACAATCATCAACCTCTGCTCGACGATCCTCGTTGCTCCAAGCTATCTAGGTGGCGGCAACCACCAAGAGTAACAAGCGAATCCTGCAGCGAAACACGAACACCAAGTGCCTTTAGATGCAAACACTCAAGCAATGCACTTGGATTCACTCCCAATCTCACAAATATGATGAATCAATGATGGAGATGAGTGGGAGGGCTTTGGCTAAGCTCACAAGGTTGCTATGTCAATGCAAATGGCCAAGAGAGTGAGCTTGAGCCGGCCATGTGGCTTAAATAGAAGCCCCCCACGAAATAGAGCCGTTGTACCCCTTCACTAGGCATTGCTCGGGGTGACCGAACGCTCCAGTCATATCGACCGGACGCACCCTACCAGCGTCCGGTCAACGGATGGCTACCACGTCATCCCTCTCTTCAAATACTGAGCATCCGATCCTAACGGTCAAGTGATGACCAGACGCAGCACAGTGCCACGACCTGACGCAGGACCCCAGCGTCCGGTCACTTCCAGTAAGGTTCCAGCTGTGACCGGGCGCGTTAGTTTGATCACGACTGGACGCAGGACCCCAGCATCCGGTCACTTCCAGTAAGCCTCCACTCGCAACCAGACGTGTTCGATCATGCCCGACCGAACTCACCCAGCGTCCGGTCACTCACTGTCTCCTCTGTGCGCTGCCACGTCAGCAGGACCGGACGCACCCCACCAGCGTCTGGTCGAAGACCGACGCCAGCATCTTTACTGCTTCCACTGACCGGACGCACCAGTCTAGTTGAGACCAGCGTCCGGTGCACTCTGTGAAATTCTATCTTTTCTGTATAGGGCGCCGGTGGCACCGTTGGACTGTCCAAACTCTACGGGC